TTAAAAGAGTGTATAACAAAATTCTTTCTGACTGACAGATTTTGAAAAGCTCAGCCAAATCGGTGTTTTATGTAGTTTGGATTTTTTTTTTTTTTAATATTTTCCTAGTCTTTTTAATTTATATTAAAAATGTCTTCGTCTAGAAATTACTTTGAAGTTGCAGTGTCTCTTTCATCAGAAACTCTTACATTTGATTGTTTGGGTTTTTTTCCAAATGTTCATGATATGTGTACGTCTAATAAAAGGCTTTATAAATATGACTTTACGAAATAGAACTGTTTCGAAATGTTCTCTACTTTCTATGTATTACTGATTAGAAGGTAATTTCTAAGATTACATGCTATTTTTTTGACTTTATGTTTTTGTTGTTCTGCAATGAACTCTGGGAAGTTGCTGAATGGAAACCTTATATATATGACACATAAAGCTCCATATAACCCATTTTGGACCAGAAAGTGTTTCTTAGATTTATGGTGATACTGCCCTCCTCAATAGTTTTGTTGGAATAGTTTTGTCATTCGTACCTAAGCCTGTTGAGAAACCAAGGCTTGCATTAGCTTTAAATAACTTTTCAAATTTCTCTATCTTTTTTCCCCCATAAATTTTTGCAAATGTTTCCTTATTTAAGCCACTTACTTAGTCCCAGTATTTTTATGAAGTTCCGTACCAAATTACCTTATGTTCACTGCGTGATARAAAGTACTCCCTTTTGTTAAGTTTKCTCCTTCTCTTTTGAAATTCCTAATAAAAGTTAAGTATTTTTAGGTTGAAAAAAGGCTAAAAAATAGTAAAAGAAAGAGTCTCTTTGCCAAAGCGTGTGTGTTCACAGCATGTCTTCCCATGGCCCTGAGGAGGGGCGTCAGCAGTGTTGGGTTTATATCTTAAAATCATAATTACTAATTTTGTGTATGTTTCATGTTCAGAAAGCACTTCACATAAAACAGATATTTCAAAATCTTGCACTTTTTTTTTTTTTTTTTAGTGAAAGAAAAATAAAACTGAAAAAGGAAAATTGAAGAAGTTAATTATACCAGAATTCAGCGAAGGTAATACAGTGATCTTAAATACTTTTGGTTTTGTTTCCTTTTTGGTTATACAATAAAACTATTGGCAAGAAACATGAAGCAGTTTAACTTTAAAAAAAAATTTCCTTAAGGCAGCCTACAAATATAATTTTAGAGATGTGTATTAAACTTTTGTTCTCATTACTTTCTAATGGAAGGTCTGCAGTTTGTGTAGCTGTAACTGCATAAAGCTGCAGCTTCACACTGTATGTTTACACCAAGTTTAAGAATTAGCTAAAAAATCAAAACATTATTTTTTCTTTGATTATTCCTAGCAAATATATAAGATATATAATATGCATAAGACATATTTACTAGTATATTCATATTACTAATATATTTGTAGTAGATATATCTACTTGTTAGTGTGCAACTATAATGCAGTGACATTATTTTTCAAATGTAGAATATATCTTCTATTCACAAAAAGGAAAAAAGAAAGAAAAATGGAAAAAGCAATTTTACAGCACTTACTACAGTCATTCAGTAAATTGTACATGCAGTCTGCATACTTATTTCTGATACCAGGATAACTATTCTAGTTTGAGGGCTTGCCTTTACATATTCTCTTCAGTGTCAGCAGAAAGCAGTTATAAAAATATCATTCCTTCTGAATGCTGAGGTGTTGCATCTAAAATGAAAGCAGGTTTAAAAGGGACTTTTCTAGAAAATAAAATAAAATTATTTTAAAATGCAAGAGGTTATGAACATACAAGATTTAATCAATTAAATTAAAAAAGARAAGGGAAGGAAAAGGTAATTCACTAAGGCTCAGCTGCCATTATTGAACCAGAAATACATGTTGAAGTCTGCAAGAAAAAGAAACATTGCCCTGATGAAAAACCTTTGCTATTGACAAACATTTATTCTTTTGAAAGGAGTTTTGCCCAGCTAACAATGGCAGAATTAGGACTATGGTGGGAACTAGGGGAAGGAAGACATTATAATTTTATTCAGATACAGATTTCAGTAGCCTGCTCAAATCAAAAGACACCTTTCTATACTACCTGATTTTAAAATTATACYTCAATCTCATGACTGCATTTTACAAATGCCTTTGCAGTTATATTGTTGCAAGTTATTCTGATGTGTCAGGTGCTGTGCTTAAGGGTGCAGTGTTTATCAATGCTTTCGGTTAGTGTATGAAAGTTATAAAACTGTGTCTGTGTGTCACCTTTCTGAATTACTGGTTCTTGTCCCAAAGGAGCTGGTTTTGGTCTGTTGTGTAGGGTACCCTACATTCAGTGTGGGATAATTTTTATTGGATTGCTTACTGGTCACAAGAAAGATGGGTTTATTGTAGGTGTTAACCCTGAAGTTTTGTGAGATTGCATTCTTATTACTAGGGAATAGCATTGATGATATGGTTAGTGAATAAAATATACAAATTAACTTCTTTGCTTTGATTAGTGGCTATTGTTTAATCAACAAGTTATTATCAAGCGGTATTTAGCTGCGGTTAACATGCAGTTTTCACAATGTTGTATGGGAGCAGCACTCGACCGTGCCTCATTGTCTATCAGATTTAGTGGAATTTTATTTTGAGTTGTAGTACTTGATTTGAGCTCAGACACGAAGGAAAACCTGTATTGTTCACTTCTGTGTCATGTCCAGTTATTGATTTCAGTCCAGCACACCATAGTCAGATGTAARCTGGGAGTTGAGTGCTCATCGGTAAGGCAAAGAGTGCGCAAAAGTGCATTAGAAGATAAAACAATTTTTTTTCCGCTAATCTGTTAAAAAAAGGAAATATTTTCTTCCATTTTCYAAAAGAAACTAGTCACTAAGTCTGGCTTGTTTGCTGCCTCCATCATTTATGCAGTTAGGCTTGGAGGAGCCTTCTTTGCAATAGATGGTAATGTTTTCACTCTTGAATACTCACTCRTTGCATATCACATCGTCTGTTTGTTTGTTTAAAATCTTCTGCACTCCCTGCACAAGGAAAACCCAAAGCAGCGATGCCAACTGGCATAAACCCGTAGATCCGATCTTGTGTTGAAATGCACTGCACAAGCTCGCTTCTATGGGTCTGTGTCAGTGTGGTGATCTGGCAAAGCTTCATGCAGCACCCACTGCAGGGTGTTTGACAACAAGCCCAAATGGGTGTACAAACCCATATACTGATTTTGGAATGCTTCTCCTGTCCATTGCCTTATCTTCCAACTTGATTAAGGGATTTGTTTTTTTATCAGTTGCTTTAAGCACCTTTGGCTTAATATCTTACTAAAATTTAAAAAGAGGGTGTGAGGGAATTGTGGGGTTTCCAAAGAGGCAGCATAGGATATACCATTTCCTGACTTTATTAGATATGCCATTCCATGGTATTACACTCAAAAAGAAAGAAGATATTAATATTTTACTCTTATTGTAAGATAAGACCAAGTACCCATTTCTTTCCAGAAATGTAGGTGGGCTTGCATCATTCCTACCAAATATGTATGTATATATATACGCACACAACACACGTATATATCTTTATACATATGCAAACAGAACAGAAGTTCTACCTCTGCAGTACAAAAATCTATCTGAGAATATGCCTTATGGTCTGAAAAGTGGGGAATAACTGCAGTTGAAAGCCTATCCCCCCCATGGGAAACATGTAGGCCAGTGGCTGCTGTCACATTTCAAAGAAAGGCTGAAGAAATGAAGAAGACTTTATGGTCACCGTCGGAAGCTGTGTGCATCCGGGTTGAGGTAGTAGGTTGTATGGTTTAGAGTTACACCCTGGGAGTTAACTGTACAACCTTCTAGCTTTCCTTGGAGCACACTTGAGCCATCGAGGAATTCATCACCACTTTAATCTGATCAGGGAAAGTATGCAAAAAGGTATTGTTTCATGGCTGTACATAATGATCACTCTGAGGCTTTATTGATGTTGAAATAGTCCTGATGACTTGATTATTTCATTTAAATCCTGTTATGAACAATGCTGACACATTACCTTAATGGACTGTGACGATGTATTGCAGACACTTAAGGAAAGAATGGTGATTATTTTAATTCCATTAACAGGAAAGCTTCAAAAGTTATTTTGGTTTATAAACTCAGGAAAATACCAAGTGTTTAATGTTTTTTTCTTTCTTCAGGGAATAGCTTATTCTATACAGTTGTTTTCTGTTGTTGGTGTTATATAGGCCTACATTATTTTGAAAAGGAAAAGAACAATTTTTTTTTTTTCCCCCTTAAAGTATTTTCCAGAAAATATTACACGCTGCTGCTTGGATAGCAGTGGAAATGTCACAAGTTGACCATGGTCTTCCCTGGATTTATGATATTCTTTGTGCCTGAACAACTCAGTGTAATGAGCACAGATCCAAATGACCTGCTGGCTCRCCCATGTTCCCACCTTCCTGTGATTCATTCACTTAGCCCAGCCCTGCCCTTGGGTCTCAGAACCTGTGCCCTTACACAGCTTGCCAAGCTGAACCCGACCCATGATGGTGTTGTCTTTTTTGATCCCTGGTTCATCTTTCTAACTCAGCAGGACTTGGAGAGCTCACACTCCCTGTGCCAATGGTTTCCAAAGCACTGGGAACTGCCACCAGTGTCAGGTCCAAGCACTGGGTGTCTCCATCCATGTGGGATGGGTGCCATAGAGAAAATTATTTCTCCTCAGTCCTGGTATTCTCTATATGCCTTTTTTTTTTTGCCTTTTTTTTTTCTTTTTACGGAAATACCAGAATGCACCAAAGGAAAAGAAAAACAAACAACAAAACAAAACAAAAAGCAAGTATTTGATCCCAATCCGACTTTGGAGACATAGTTGGGCTTGTAGAGGTTTATGCCCCAAGTTGTGTGACCCCATTTAATTCTGGTTAGCAGCCTTCTTCATCCTATCTGGAAAAAACAAAGATGTGTACATCCCATGAGCAGGTATCCTAACAGAAACAGAAAAAAAGAGTGAGTGTTTCCACTCCTAGAAACAACTGCGGAGAAAGAGAGAAAAGGACTGTGTCTGTTTATTCACCGTGATTTTTTAAGTGAGGGCTACTTCTGGAAATGACCTCAAAATTGAGGCCTCCCCAGTGAGATGGAACACACGTTACTGCCAGAGTCAGAGCATCTGGACYGGACAGTGATGATCATTCCAAAATAGTTGGGAAAAACTGATACTGTCTTTTTCCACATACTTTTCCATAAAAAGTGAAAAGGAGTATTATTTTCAAGAAGAAAAATTTATCATTAAAGACAGTAAGAGTGATAATTTTGTGCAAAGTTATTTAAGTCTGTTGATGAAAAGCAAAAGAGAGGAGCAGCRCCCCTGTGGTACTGTGGTCAGGGGCAGATCCGACTCCTATGGGATGAGGAGAGGATGAAATGTGACTGCTCCCTATGGGGGTGACAGCTCTGTTCTTGGAGCTCCCAAGTTTCCAGCAAACAGTTCTTTCTTCAGGGTATTTGGAAACTCCAGATTTCTGAGTTTACTTTTATTGTAGGTGAACATAATGAGATGTTTGATATTTCCAGTGTTAAGTTGTTTTATGATTTGCATCAGCAGGGAACGTTAAGAATGTTTATTTTAAGTGGGTTTGAAGTTTGATTGTGTTTTGGTTATTGTTTTCTTTCCATGTCTGTTTGTTTATTCACTTGCTCACAGGTCCCTATGTTTGACTCCTATCTCAGCTTAAGGTTTACCTGAACCCTTTCCTAGATTAGGAATCATGGGAGGGGATGAAAATGGATTTAGTTTATCTTTTTAACAGCACTTATTTTCAGTGATTAATGTTTGTGATAGGAAATTGGTAAAGAGGATCTACATGAGAGGTGGATCCACACTGGATTTTAAGCCTGTTTTAAAGTACAGAGAGATGGGACAGAGGAGAGATGAGGTTGAGTGAATCAGAATWACTCCAAGCTAATGGAAATGCTTAAGGGACCAGTGGATAAGTGGGAGGACAGAGGGGAGACCTCCATTAACCAATGAGGCCTAACGGGGACCCCTCACAATCTGATAAAAACTGCAATATCCTCTGTGGATT